TTACAATAATCTCGCGGATAGGACTTTTTGCGAGTAAAAATTTTATTTGCTTGGTCTATACCTACTTATCTGTATTTTATATTTCACGATTTTCAGGCAGAATTTAACAAGCAATCTAGCGCACCTCGAATCGGCAGATATTTGGCAACACTGTAAGAAATTATTCACTTCGCGACCAGCAACTGGTACGGAAATATTTGTCTTGAAATGTGGACGATAGAAAATTACATTCGAAATATTATATTAATTGAAAAAAAACCATGCCCTCATAAGGGATCGAACCCCGAACCTTTAGATTGGTATGACAACACGTAACACTTTGAGCCACAAGACCATGTTCATTTAGTTTCGATAACCTGGCTTATATACTTAACGTTGTGCCTCTTGTGATATAAACAGTAATTATAATGAATATATTAGCAGACGGCTGAATACCAGTGATAATATTATTGGCATATTTTGAAGAATTATCAAAAACAATTAAAAATAAATTGTTGCATATTTAAAAAAGACCTATTTATGTCAGTTTAGAGAAAGTATAGTGCTGTAAAGTATTTTCCATGGTAATGATTTATACATTCGTGAAAAAACTGTTTTCCTCACTTATTTGTTTAAATAGAAAAGTTAGCTAATAAAAGTTTTTGACTCGCGAGACGAGAGATGTCTTGTATTATGTTCCTTTAGACAATTTTACAATAATCTAGCGGATAGGACTTTTTTCGAGTTTCTCATTTATTTTCGCTAATTTTCCTGGTGTAAATTTAATGTGAAGAAAGTGACGAAATCGACAAAATTTCTGAATTTTTTTCTCAAAAACTACTGAACAGATTTTAATTCTAAAAAAAGCATAATAATCGGCAGATTTTCAACTTTAAGATATATATTTTTTGGTATGGGTCAATCATTTTATTGAAGGTCTAATGCGAGTAAAAAAGTCTTTTAAAGAAAATTATAACACTTCAAATTTAAGTTTTCTTTTTTACAATATCTAAGATTATATTTACAATAAACATAATTATGATTTTTTTTAATCGATATATATTAACAGTACAAATGTTCAAAAGATCATTTTGTTTGGTTTTGTAGCCGGAGTAAGGTTTTTGCAAATAATTAGTAAAATTTAAATATTCGATTTTTGGTTTTATAAATGGCTAAAAATAAAACTAAATAAACTTTTTAAATCGTAAAATTCGGCCATTCAGCGAGTAACTTTTTTGTTTATGACAATTGACTGACCACGCCGAAAAATATGTAAATTATCAGAAAAATACACTTTATAAAATAAAAGTTTCATGCTGTAGGTTTCCGTTTTAAAAATTTTGTCGGTTCATGCCTTTTTTTTAGGGGTGAACCGCTCGCCTGTTGGTATGATATAAAAAAAACAAACTGTCATCTTAACTCGGCAAAATGGAAATGGCTAAATATGTCAACACCCTTCGTTACATGTTTATTTTAGTTTAGTGTAACTGTATGACCTTATAAAGTTCATTTTAGGAAATTGCATAATATTATAGATTTTTAGATGTCTTTCTAAGACCACGTTAGACGTAAGATCTATGTTTACCTACAGTTATCTAGTTATCTCGCTAAAAAGTAAAATTTGTTTAATATTAACTTGCGTTTGTTTAATAGAAACCTGCATATAAGCAGCGGTTTAGCAGGAATTGTATTTTTAGTAAAAAAAATTCTTTATATCTCTGCAAGACCTTGTACACACTCTTAAAAACTATTTATGTGTGGATCCACGTTTGGCATAAAATCACTGAAGGAACCTCCTCCTGAGTTGTTCGACTTACTTAATCCTGTATAATCAAGGCGTGTACACTTTTTCGGAACAATAGATGCAGACTTGGCAGACTTGGATACAGGCATAGGAAAAAAAAACAAAACGCCACTTGCATATCAATTTTTGTATTTATATAGGTACAAATATATAAATAATAAATACATGGATAAAAATATACAAAACTACACGATAGTAAAATATAGCTTACAAAGCTTAAATATAATTTAATAATACCTCTGTCGGAATTATTAGGACTTGCAAGTCTATCAAAGAGGGGGTGGGGGGAGAGTAACAAATATCAATCTCTGGTACTCCCGATACCAACGTTCAATAGCCAATAGTGGATTTAGAAGACGGCTTTGAGAAATTTAGAAATTTGACGATCAGTGACAAGCGCATGGGTCGCCCGAGAAAAATAACGTCACAAGATTGATAATTGTATAATTATCACGCAAATATCCATAAAGAAAGATTCAATCGGCAGAAATGTATATTTTGAATATATCTGAATTTTTACTGCAGAAAGCATACATTTATTATACAGGGCGTTTCTGAAATAAGTGCGTTCTTTTGAAAGGGTGACAAAGAGCACGAAAATGAGCAACTTTTATTAAGCAATTGAGGGTCAAAATGTTTGTTTGCGAGAAAATTAATTAAGAAAATTAATCATAATTGTAAGCTCAGCCTGTGCATCTTGTGCACGTGCGTCAGCAACAGTCTTCAAGACTTAAAGATAAGAGAGAGGATGGGAGAAATATAAATTATAGATAGAAATAGGCACAGGGAATTAATTTTTTTATAAATATTTTTAATAAAACATTTTTAATATTTTATATTCTAATCCTGATAGATAAAAATTTAATTTTTTTAATTTAAAATTCCAGAGCTAAATTTTTAAAATATGGAAATGTTATTACTTTTTAACATAAAATTTTATATTTTTAAATTCTTTTGTCAACAAATATTTATACTAATTTGTTACAATTGTTTTTTGAAAATATAAAGTAGTGTATTAATTTTCAAAATTAAAGTTTAAGTATTTTATTAAAAATTTCCAATCTATTTTCTTAGCTTAAGAAAATGTTTGTACTTTTTTGGAATTTCTAGAGGAAGGCAGCTTCACCCCCCTGCCCCCCTTGGCGACGCCCAGGAAACGGAACAAAACGAAATTTACCATCAATATAATAAGTGTTTGAGGACATACATAATTAAAATTTGTTGTTGCCCAAATTAACATATAATAGTAATTTTCTACGCATTATATACAGGGTGGGCCATCAGTGTGAGAAAGTAAAATAACTCCATTGTTATTCATAATACAGAAAAAAAATTATATAAAAGTTGTACAGAATCAAAGAACCTAAAGGACAAAAGTAATTTGAAACACACAGGGCGATGAGTAAAAGCTGGGCACGCCAAATAGTACATTTTTAAATGGAACACCCTGTATATTTTTAAACATATGGATTTCCGGGAAAATTCTATATATGTCAATATAAACAGTTTAACATTTTAGTGCGGGGTTGCCAAATTATGTAGAAAATTATTCGAATTTTGGAAAAAACATGACCTCGAAGAAGTTGTATTAACTTTCAACTACTAACACTTGGAGCAAAGATATTTGACAGAGGTATAGGCAAATGTTAAGCAAATACTCCTGTATTAGCTAATATCAATATTTTATACAGGACATTTTTTATAATACGATCATTTTAAGAAAGTTCAAACTTGATTTTCTAAAATTGTTCAAATGGAACAAACACCCTGTATTTTATGGTTCTATTTTATTCACATATCAGTCCACTTCAACTTTTATTAAGTATGTTCTACACCTAAAGTTGTTAGTTTTTAAGATACAGCAACATTTCTGGAAAAACCTAATTTTTATTATTTTCGATCGCACGAAATAGCTTTGGAAAAAACTGTCACATTGTGTCAACTTGTCAGTTCATAAACTATCGTTCCATTTTGAGTTAATTTTATTAATTAATATTTATTTGTGGTATTCTATAATAGTATATTATTCAACGAGCGTATAATGATGGGTATTATTCACGAGGTGAAGTTTACGGCCACGAGCCGCAGGCGAGTGGCCCAAATCACCGAGTGAATAATACCCATTATACGGGAGTAGAATACTATACTTTATCCACGACTACTAAATATTTTTTTTGAAGTTTTTTTTTAAATGTTTCGAAAAACATGGTATGTTAAGAAACAGATATACGACTCGCACAAATGAAGTCGCTGATGCCTCAGTGTAGATGCTCTTTCCCTTCCAACCGCGGGTCCCGGGTTCGAATCCGGTCTAGGAAAATTCACTTTTTTAATTTTTTTTTTTATATGTACAGCACTGAATTGAAAATATTTAGTGGTTTACACGATAAAATTTTAAAAACGGATTGTTTGTAGCAGAACAATATAATATTATAGCTAAATTAAGGAAGCATCTGACAGTAGTGATTAATGACTCATTAATCACTGCCGTGATTAATGGGTATTATTAAGGTCGAGCAAACAGACGTATAATGGGTACATTATACCATAGTCGTGGATAAAATAATAAAAATTAAGTTTTTTCAGAAATGTTGCTATATCTTAAAAACTAAAAATTTTAGATATAGAACATGCTTAATAAAAGTTGAAGTGGACCGATATGTGAATAAAACAGAACAATAAAATACAGGGTGTTCTATTTGAAAAATTTTAGAAAATCAAGTTTAAACTTTCTTAAAATGATCGTATTATAAAAAATGCCCTGCATAAAATATCGATATTAGCTAATATAGGAGCCTTTGTCTAACATTTGCCTGTACCTCCGTCTAATTATTTTGTTCCAAGCGTTAGTAGTTGAAAGTTAATACAACTATTTCGAGGTAATGTTTTTTCCAAAATTCGGAGAATTTTCTACATAACTTGGCAACCCCGCACTAAAATGTTAAACTGTTTGTATTGCCATATATAGAATTTTCTCGGAAATCCATGTTTAAAAATATACAGGATGTTCTATTTAAAAAAGTTAAAATTTTCGTGTCCCGTTTTTACTCATCGCCCTGTATGTATCAAATTAATATTATAGTTTAGGTTTCTTGATTCTGTATAACTTTTGTATATAAAGTTTTTTTCTGTACCATGAGTAATAAGGGTGTTATTTTACTTTCTCACACTATTGGCCCACCCTGTATATGAATTATTATTTTGTACCTTTAACAGAAAACTTTTTTGTGACGCCCATGTAATTCATTAAATTTTATTGCTAGGCGTTTTTATACATGTTCAACTGACTTCGGTATCGGAAAGACCTTACAGGTGCCTCATTTGAATTTTTTTTTCAAAACGTGTTTTAGATCATCAGTTCCCTTAATAAAAGTTGCTTAATTTCGAGCCTTCTATCACCCTCTTCCAGGAACGTACTTATTTCAGAAACACCCTGTATAGTAACCCCAGTGGTCAATTTCTAAATTGTCCCCGAATCCTGATACTACTGAGACTTCGTGTTGGAAGGAAAGAGAAACAAAACATCGACAATCGATCGTCGATTCTTGCCATGTCTTCTTTTATGCGCAGTATCGATTGCAACGTTTATATTGTGCATTTAATCAGTCAAGTTCAGTGACCTGGAAGCTCTAGTGCATACAATTTTTTTTTCAGTGCATCAACATCAACAAACTGCTAGTTCTCAGGCAACCCAATACGCTGTGACGATTCTTCTGACCACTTTAGCCGTTAGATAATGTTAGTAACTCAAAATATTGTATAAAGACTATCAATTTCGAGCCGCGTTAGTTCATCAGTAATATACAGAAAAACACACACTGTTAATAATATTAATATTATTCACTTTTAGGGATTACGTTGATATTTATTAAAATTACATGTTTAACATTTTGTTATAAGTTATATTAGTTAAATATTACGAAGTAAATTTATGTTGTGTTAGGTTAGGTTAGTAATTAAAAAAATAAAACAAAAGTGCTATTAACAAAAATAAATAAAATCAATGCTTTCCTTAAGGAGGAACTGCAGCTAAGGGGTGCTAGTAGTTTTAATACACGTTAAATATTAGTGAAACGTTGCAATTAAAATAATTTCCGCAATATCCACAACTTAAAAAGGATACATCTTAGTACTGATACCTGTTACGGTTATCTAGTGGGGACAAGAAAAAATATAAGAGGACTACACGCGTTACCTGTTAGTACCGATACATATGTAGACAAACCCAGTCAGTGTTAGCGGTTAATAATTCTCTCTCCACAAACAACTCCCAAACGTTAGTAGTGTTAAAGACACACCCTGTGGCCAGAAGACCATCTACTTCCTGTACGGAAACCAAACGAACAATATACGCAGAAGGGTAACCACCAATCTCGAGACAATTTCCGGTCCGTGCCGAACCGGAGTATCACCAATGAAATCACAAGGGGTCGCGCCGCCCTCCGCGACCTCAACTGTAGTCGAAGAGCAAATATTTGGCCAGGGACCTGGGCAGCTCGAAGTCGGACACGGCGTACATCAGTCCGGCCCCCAGCATCCTCCTCAAGTAGAGCCTAACCTGCCTCTTCAGCGACTGGGGGTACTTGGCCAGCTCCAGCAGGGCGGTCTTCTGGTCGGGGGACATCACGTTGTTTCTCCGGATCATGCACGGGTCGAAGGACTCGCACGACTCCAGCAGGAGGAAGAATATCGAGTCGCAGTTGTCGGATATGACGTTGTGGAGCGAGTTCAGCATGCCGTCGGGGTCCCTGAACTGAGTCTTCATCACCACCTGGAACGCCCGACGCGTCAAGAAGGATTAGAACGACGTATACGCGGCTCGACTTACCCTCGCCCCGTACTGCAACAGCAGATGCACGACCGCCAGGCTGGGGTGTTCGTTACTGGCCAGATATTCCACCAGGACGGGTCTCAACTGAGAATTCCGGTCCAGGTCGTCGCTGAACACCTTCAGATTCGGGTCCGCCCCCGCCTTCAGGAGCATCTGGAACGCAAAGACGCTGTTAAATTACCGCAAAGTACCTAAATCAACGGCAAAGTGCCAGTCAGACCTCGTCATAGTGGAGAGCAAGGGAAAAAGTGCATGTTATCGCTCGTTGCCGTGGAAAACAAGCGGGAAAGTGTCCCTCATCGCTACCGACAAAGTACACTTTATTGCTTGTTAACCCAAACAACAAACGGCAAAGTATCTAGAACTTCTCGTTGCCTTAACGAACAAGCGGAAAAGTGACTTCCATAGCCTGTCGCCGTGAAATGCATGGTTTGTTGCCGAGAAAAGTAAGCAACAAAGTGCATATTATCCTTGTTGTAATGAAAAACAAGCGTAAAGTGCATCGTATGGGTTGTTCGCGCAAAAAACAAGCGTCGTAAACAAACAAGGCGACGAATTTCTGTTTGCCGTGTAAAGCTAGCGACAAAGTACACTTTTATTGCTTGTTAACCCGAATAACAAGCGGCAAAGTATCTAGCACTACTCGTTGCCATGGGGAACAAGCGGTAAAGTGACTTCAATCGCTTGTCACCGTGAAAAGTAAACAGCAAAGTGCATCTTATCGCTCGTTGCCGCGAAAAACAAGCAACAAAGTATCTCGTGTCGTTAAAACCAAGCAGCAAAGTACGTCTTATATCTCGTCGTAAACAAACAAGGCGACAAAGTGTCTCTAATTGCACTTTGCCGTGTAAAGCCAACGACAAAGTACACTTTATCGCTTGTTAACTCGAATAACAAGCGGTAAAGTATCTAGAACTACTCGTTGCCATGGGGAACAAGCGGAAAAAGTGACTTCTATCGCTTGTTGCCGTGAAAAGTAACCAGCAAAGTGTACCTTATCGTTCGTTGCCGCGAAAAACAAGTAACAAAGTATCTCGCGTCGTTCGTTGTCGTGAAAACAAGCAGCAAAGTGCGTCTTATGAGTCGTCAAGTCAATCAAACACGACGACAAAGTGTCTCTCATTGCTCTTTGTTGCGGAAAGGAAGGGGCAAAGTGCACATCAGTGACGCCACTATTAATTACCTGTAATATGTCGAATCTGTTGGGGATGTTGTCTGCGCATGCTACGTGTAACGGGGATCCTATTATCGGAGAACTGCAATTGACGTCAGACCCTGAAAACGACAAATATAATATTATTGGAGGTTTTTTTTTTTGAAACGTAGAGAGTTGAGTGGCAATTCAAGGGCGGCTCACCTGATCTGATCAGCAGTTCCACGATCTTCGGGTCGCCCTTGAGAATGGCCAAATCTAGCGGGCTGGGTTTGCCCAAGTCGTACTCCTCGTCGTAGTTAAGTTTGGCGCCCTGTTTTATGATCAAGTTGATGATTTCGTAGTTTCCGGATAAGACTGCGTAGTGTAACACCTGAAATGTAGCCAGTGTTGAGTTTTACGTGAATGTCTGTTTGTATGGGACAGTGGCGGCTCGTGAGTTTTTGAGATGGGCGGGTAAAATATTTTTTCTCATGTAACTTAACATCATATATTAATTGCAATCTACGTTAGTCTATTTACTTTTGAAAGTGTAAAAAACTTAAGAATTATGAAGATAGTTAATATAAATATACCTGAAAATTAATTATATTAGTTATTCCAAAAGTATACCTAATAGTTCAGCAAGAACAAACGAGAATGTCATCACAGTGATTTCTTGCCGGGATAGGGGATAAGGCAAGGATTATGGCATAGAAGGACATATAAAAAATTATATAATTCTCTAAACAAATAGTAAAATTCTCTATCACTTTTATAGCTGAAATTACTAACGATAAATTATACTAAAATTCTAATAAGTAAATAAATAAATAAATAAATAAATAAACAAATCAATAAGGCGCTTTACAATGTCTCTATTTTCGTCCACGACTTTATTATGGTTTAAAATATTCTCACGAAATGCAGAATCAAGAAAAGTTTGAATGTTTTGTTTTCCTAATAATTTAAATTTTAATGTTGAATATGTATGCTCCTCCGATCGCTCGTGTTTTTTTTGAAAATTCATTTATATGTTTCAGATCTGAATATCCTAGATAATTCCATGGAGTTTTACTTTTTTCATTAAACTGTAAGCAATTCCAACAATATAATTTGTTTCTGGTTTCATTACCTTTTAACCATTCATATTTATTGTACCAATTTTTACTAAATGATCTGTTACTTCCGCAATTGTTTTTATTTATTAAATTTTTCATGTCAGGCGTAGGTTTTAATCTTGAAATAAATAATAATTTATCATCGAAAGTTAACATACAAAATTTTTTATTTAATAAAAAATTAATAATATCACCATTGCTACTCACCAATTCGCTATTTTCGGCTTACCATTTTGCTTTATTCCAAACTATTAAACAATAAAAACTTACCTAAACCACTATACTAACCCTAACCTAGAACTTACAAACAACCAAGTCGTGAAGTACAAGGAATAACAAATCTCTACCTTCCTAATCTATGAAATAAAACTAACATCAAACCGCAGATTACACATAAGTACCCGAAGAATATACGAGTGAAATCGAAGGGCTTGCCCGGAGAGTAGAGTTATTTTAGGTAATTCAATTATGTATATTCAAATGATAATTTATTAAAAATCTGATTGAAATAAAAAAAATATATTAAATAGAAACTATTTTTTTTAATCGAACAGTTGCTTTATTATTTGAAAAAATAAATAAATATGTATCGAATTTAAAAGTCCTAAAAATAATTTATATCACTTCCATATTTACAAACTCGAATCTATTAAAATATTGAAAATTTTTCAGCAATCACTCTTAATTTAGTTTAACAGTAACGCTTCACAATAACCTTAATAAATATAATTGTCAAAGAACATTCAACATATCATAGATATTTATTTTTTAATGCGATTTACAAATTATTATAAAACGGTTTATTACTTCGTTTACTAATATTTGTTTTCTGGAATACCTTTGCAGGGAAAAATTGTTTTAATGTTCAAAAATTCATTTAAAGAACAAAATTACAGCACATAAATATACATATATTTCCAACCGCTGCTGGCTGGCTGGCGAAAAGCCGTAGCTGGCCGATACAACACTCGATGAGTATGCGGGTGCGGGCTGTGTCCGGGCTCGCCCGACTTGGGCTAGATATTCTAAATTAGTGAACGACTTACGTTTCCGATTACTCTCTAGTCCTAGCCCTGCGTATAAGCAGGCAACGTACGGCGTTGTTTAATTCAGCGGCCACGGGCTGGCCCGAATGTTATGTTGGTTGCTGCCGAGATCATCCCAAAAATAATTTACATCACTCCCATGTTTACAAACTAGAATCTATTCAAATATTGAAAATTTCTCAGCAATCACTTTTAATTCAGTTTAACAGTAACGAGTTAAAATAACCTTAATAATTATAATTATCAAAGAACATTCAACATAGCACCATAGATATTTATTTTTTTACGCGATTTACAAATTATTATAAAACGGTTTATTATTTCGTTTACTAAAATTTGTTTTCTGGAATACCTTTGCAGGGAAAAATTGTTCTAATATTTAAAAATTCATTTAAAGAACAAAATTACAGCAAATAAATATACGTATATATATTTCCAACCACTGGTGAAAAGTCTTAGGTGGTCGATACAACACTCGATGGGTGCTCAATGGGTATATGCGAGCTGTGTGCGGTGTGCGGGCTCGCCCGACTTGGGCCAAATATTCTAAATTAGTGAACGACTTACGTTTCCGATTACTGTCTAGTCCTAGGTGCGTATAAGCATGCAAGGTATGGTTGGGGTACGGCGTTGTTTAATTCAGCAGCTACGGGCTAGCCCGAATGTTATGTTGGTTGCTGCCGAGATCATGATTAAAATATAATTTTAAAATTTGGTAGGGGGAGTTTCAAAGGAGGTAACGCATTTTAGATTTAATTTTATAAGAGCTGTCAAATCACTTTGATAAATATATATACAAATTTTTGTTTATTCTTCTGAAAATTTCAGGGTGGGCACTAACCACCATGACCACTCCGACGAGCCTCCACTGGTATGGGGTATCAAGGAGGCGGGTTTTTAAATGGAATGTCCCGTAACAATCTAAGAAAATGTTGGAAAATCGTTGTAAGTTGAGTCTAAAATGACTGCAATTGAGCGTAGAAATGTAATTTTATGTAGATTTCATATTTTGAGTTTATCACATCTCAAACAAACCCTTTTAAAAATTCTAGGTTCTTTTGAAGCTGAAAATCAGCTGTAACCTCCGAATTCTTTGAAACTGCATGAATTATTTAAAATAAAAGTTAACTTATAGCTAATAAAATAATTTTTCCTTTTCAACCCCTAAAAACCACCCCTGTATTGACAAAAATGATAAAAAATTACTGTTTAAAAGCTTGGAATCCTTTAACGGTGCAATTATTTAAAATAAAAATTCCCTCATTGCTTATGAAAGAATTTGTATCTCATAACACTTTTCAACCCTTATAAATCACCCCTGTGCTAAAAAAATGATAAAAAATTACGTTTTAAATCTTGGAATGCTATAATTGTGCAATAATTTAAAATAAAAATTCCCTTATATTGTTTATGAAAGAATATTTTACTTTTGCCATTTTCAACTCTTATAAACTACCCTTTTACCAATATTAATGTAAAATATTTTTATTATAATCGATTTTTAAATATAATCAATCATAAAAAAAATTGCTACGCTGCATATAAATAATCACACTAAATTTTTTTACTTATTTTATTTGTATAATATAATATATAATATATAAAAATGAGAAAGCCTATTTTGCTCCGAAAAAATGTCATTGGTTTTTTTACCATAACTCGGTTAATTTTGAAGCTATAGTATCCTACAAAAAAGCATTTTAAAGATAATTTCAAGAGCTGTAAGATCGTTTGCATATAAAACCTTTTAAGTCCTTCGTTTTTTAAAGGGAAAGGATCGAAGGGCTCGAGACAGGTCGTTTTTTCACTAAAATGGATACTTCAAGCGGCGATATCTCCTTTATTTTTTATGCTATAGGAAAAAAAAAAGCAAAATATTTGTTGAAAAAAAAGCTACATTTTTGTTGTCTATCATTTTTTACGTATCTTTCATAGTTTCAGAGTTATTATATAAATAAGGCAATTTTTTTTGAATAATGAAAAATACGTTTTCAACTTTTACCGTACATTATTAAAAAAATACGCATTCTAAACCGGTCTAACTTCAGGATCGTATGAAAAACACTAAAACAAAACTAATTGTAAAGGGTCTACGATTAATTTTAATTCTGATGGAAATGGTACAGCGTTTACTGCTCATTTTTCCTTAAAAAATATGAGCAACCCATCTGTTTTTGACGATAACTCCTTCAATTTTGCTCTAATTAACTTTTATAAGTGCTCATTTTGAAGGTCTTTTTGAGTACTACAAAAAACTCCAGGAGCGTTATACACGTAAAATTTATCTTTTTTTCGTTATTTGACGTTGAACACATCGATTCCAGTATTCGCCCCAAAACAAGTCCCCTTCCACTAACCATATTTCGCTTTGTATAGGACGTAAAACACGTTTTAAATAACGATTTTCTTTTTTTATTTATAAGCTCCATTCTTGTTTATTACACTTTGTTTAATAAAATGCGTAGTTTTTGAGTTATTCGCGAAAAATACTTTGAAAGTGTTTTTTTTTCACTCAAAATTCCAAGTTTTCAATCGTGAATAACTAAAAAACTATTGATTTCTCGAAGAACTTCTTCGAATATTTTTTGCACAAAATTTCATTATCTATCGATTTCCAGCGTTATTTTTGAAAAAAAAAATTTCCACCCCTGAAAAGGGGTGGCAACCTCAACAAGATGGAAGCGTCAATCGGTGCTATGTCACTAATGTTCATTGACCTTTTCTCTAACTATCTGCCAAATTTCAAGTCGATCGGTTCAGTTTCAAAGAATGAAAAGCTTCAATGACTGTACTATTACGACTCAGAAAATTCATTTTGTTGCCATATCTTAATAATTACTGGTCAATCTTTCATCCCAATCCAATTTTTTTCGACTTAATTGAATAAATTAGACAATACTTACGGTTCTATAGTCGTGCCTCTCGTCTGCAATAGCATTTACGTCCGCTCCATATTTTAACAACAATAGCACGGCCTCCATCCCCTAGAAAAATTATTTTTAAGCGCTCCCTTCAGTGTTAAAAGGAAAAAAATTAAAAGACATGCCCGTTTACGTTTCATACTCCGATATTTCGCCTCACCTGGGGTTGGCGGACGGCCTTCATCAGGGGGGTCAGTCCGGACCTGTCCCTGCTGTCGGGATTCGCGCCGAATGTGAGGAGCAGTTCCAAAAATTCCAGGTCCGTAACAAGGTTGATTTCGGCGCCGAAAAAGTATCGCTTGTTGGGGTCGGCGCCGTGCTCCAGCAGCATCCTGGCGATCTCCATGTGCTTGTTCCTGATGGCCAGTCTGAGGGGTTCGTCGCATTGCGTGGTGCGGGGGAAGTCTTCGTCCGTGTTGGGCCTGTAGTCCACCTTGGCGCCCGATTTAAGCAGCAGACGGACCACTTCCGTGTATCTGGAACACGACTCGTGGGTAATCGAACTGTTTTTGAAACTTTTTTGCTGATGGAAGATCTCAATTTGTTGCTGTCGGGCAGGTTTGAGCAATATACCGTTTGTAACCGTTACTTTGGTACCGATACTTTGGAGCTGTTACTTGGAACCGTTACTTGAGAATAATGAATCCGCTGAAGCTAGAACTTTTGCCGATTTTTAGGCTTTGGGGACGATTTTTTGGAGTTCGCGCGAAGCTAAAGGACTGATTGAGTTGTCGAATACCCAAAATATGCAATGCTTTTTGTTTTAGAGGCTTTTATTCGTGAAATAGAGCACTCGTTTGTGTTATCCTGTGGAAACAGCGTAGATTCTCATAATTTCGTGTTATATTAAGAAATAAAAAGATTCTGATCCATCAGCTGTTTCTATCAATAGACGACATTTGGAGTTTATTTTCATAGCTGGAAAACCAATAAACCACGCCAGAAATCACAAATTGCCTAATAACTTTGCTATAACACCGTGCACTGTTTAACGCGGACTAAAAATAGGAACTGCACGTATTTTTATATACGCGGGTTATATTTTTGATGCATTTAATATTTTCTTGGCACGAAAATTGAGGTATACGTATGAAGCGAGACTAGAAATGATCTTAGAAAAAAAATGATTATACTGTACTACAGTCGCCACTTTGGTAGGCTGACGAAGACTAGTAAAACCGAAACAAGAGTACGACGACCATCCGGAGGTGGAAGGTAAGACCGAGGAGGAGGTAGACCCAAACAAGTAACAATCGTCAAAAAGTTTTAAATAAGGACAGCAATGTGGTTTTATAGTTTCATGAATTTATAATAAAACCCAATTTAACAAATAATAATAAATAGGCGAAATACAGGGTGTTTCAGAAAGATCTCCCGTAAATTTAGGGGGTGATAGTACGACAACAAATAAGAATTTTTTGTCTTATGAACTATATGTCTATCTCCTCTTGTTTTCGATATACAGAGCGACAAAAGAGTGACCGCAAAAACAGCATATTTTTAGCCTATTTTCTCACCCTTGCCAGAGACCTTAAAAAAATCCTGAAAATATTCTGCATATGTCAAATTATTGGTAATGAAATAAATCAAGATGAGCATATTTTTTAGTTTTTCAAAAAATGTCGAAAATCACCACTAATTAGGGGTTGATATGATGACGCAAAACTGAAATGTACGAATAATATCAATAAGACTAAAAGCAATTCTTATTGTATTTTTTCTATAAAATAAAATCTTACAAATGGGAAATAATCTATTTTCATGATTAATGAGGGCGTGATATAGTTGTAAGTCCACCCTTAAATTCGCTAAGGGGCTTAAATCATCCCCTAAATACGGAAAAAATATAAAATTACTTGAAAAATCTAGGAAAAAGTACTAGGATATTCTAAATTATTAGAAATTCAAGTCGTGTACTTCTCACTAGTATCTATAAGAAAACCACCCCTGTAACGAAGGGGTGAACTACCCCCGAACGTGATAACATACGAAAATATCATAGCGATATAAAAAAACTGTCGAATATTTTACTTTTCTGATCAGAAAGATTAAGCTGACTTGACCTAATTGTTCAAAAAAATTTTCTATAAAAATCAGCCCTCTTAGGGGGTGAAATCATCCCCTAAACATAAAAAAATAAAAAAATATTTGAAAAATCTTGATTTTTCAAATAATTTTTGATTTTTTCAATCAAAAAATATTTAGTAATTTTTTTATTTTTTCCATATTTAGGGGATGATTTAAGCCCCTTAGCGAATTTAAGGGTGGACTTACAACTATGTCACGCCCTCATTAATCATGAAAAGAAATTATTTCCTATTTGTAGGATTTTATTTTATAGAAAAAATACAATAAGAATTGCTTTTATTCTTATTGATATTATTTATACATTTCAGTTTTGCAGTATCATATCAACCCCTAAGGGTGATTTTCGACATTTTTCGACTACTAAACTAAAAAATATGCTCATCTAGATTTTTCATTACCAATAATTTGACATATGCAGAATATTTTTAGGTCTCTGGCAAGGGTGAGAAAATAGGCTAACTTTGCGGTCATTCTTTTTTAAATAGAATTTTTACGAAAATTTCCAGTGCGAAATATTTTTATGAAATTTGGTATTCCGGGGTTTTTAAGGACGCCAAATACGTTGATCTAATTATTTTTTGTATATTTTATAGAGGGCGCTGGTGATGCTACATTCGTATTACATTTTAAGTTCTAATTTTTTTGAGGTTAGGTTTTCGGGTTCCAATTTCTAATGTACAATTTTATTTTCTAAAAATAATGTACATTTGTTAGAGCTTCCTAATGTGGACGGTTTTCGAGAAAAAAGGCTTTTAATTGAACTCTTGCAATATTACGGTGTAGAAAATAAGTGATTTTTCTTAAAGTAAGCTTATGTCAAAACTTATTGATGGTTGTCTCATAAACAACGCATACATTCTCAGTAATATTTTAAACTCTAATTAACTTTATATCAAAATTTTAGTGATTGTTAGTGACTGTAGTTAGTAATGACTAATTACAGTCACTAAAATTTTGATATAAAGTTAATTAGAGTTTAAAATATTACTGAGGATGTATGCGTTGTTTGAGATTAATAAGTTTATTTTGTTGCTCTGCATCTCGAAAACAAGAAGAGATAGACATGTAGTTCATAGGACAAATAATTCTTATTTTTTGTCGTACTATCACCCCCTGCATTTACGGGAGGTCTTTCTGAAACACCCTGTATAAATTACAGGTAGGAATAGGTACAATGAATTAAATTTTTTAGATATTTTTTTAATAAACCCTTTTTAAAATACAAGAAAGACATAAAAAATATAAACAACTTAAAAACTAAAGAAATTCAACGAAAATTAGGCAAAACATAATCTCGGATTTTTTTAAAATTTGTCGACCACTTTATTAATAAAATCTTCATGGTTGTCAAAAATAAGCGATAGACCGATAATAAATATTAAGTCTAATTGTAAGTTTGCAGTTTATATATAATTTAAAAACAATTAAATACAAAAAATTAAGTATCGAATAATAACCCTCACAATTCAAGTTTAAAGCTATAAAGCTATTATATTATTGAAAATATATAAAAATATATAAATATGTATATACTTATAACTTATAACTTATGGGTAAACCTACAAAATTAAAAACGTTTTTCATTCCCCTTATATAAAATTGGTGCGTTACATATATAGCTTTAGTTGCATTGTTAAACGTTTATTATGATTCCGATAGATAAAAATTTATTTTTTTTAATTTAAATTCCAGAGCTAAATTTTTAAAATATAGAAATGTATTAGGTACTTTGTAACATAAAATTTTATATTTTTAAATTCTTTTATCAACGAATATTTATACCAATTTGTTACAATTGTTTTTTAAAAAAAATTAAGTAGTGTATTAATTTTCAAAATTAAAGTTTAAGTAAATAAAATATTTTATTAAAAATTTCCAATATATTTTCTAAGCTTAAGAAAATTTTTGTGCTCTTTTCGAATTTCTAGTGGGGGGAGCAGCTGCCCCCTGAGAAATTATAGACCTTGAAACTACTTGCAATTTGCAATGGATTCTAATAAATAGGTGGCACAAACACGTTATTTAAACTTTTTTTCAGATGTAAATTGTTTTTAATAAATTAAAATCGAACGTTATTTTGAAATTTAAAAGTTAAAGAATACTCGTATTGACATTGTACATTTAATACATTGTTTACAAATTTAGACTACTTTGATATTTCTCAATAACGAATTAAGTATAACCTAACCATTTAAAAAAAAACTACCCTAGCGCCTTTTTTATATGTTTTTCATTGTTTCTCGAAATTTCCATGGGTTTCTTAGAACAGTATAGAACAAACGTTTATTCTTTTGTTATCAAAACGATGCGTTTTCTCAAAGTGTTTACTTGATCTTGGTACATAGAGCAACCAGAAGCATCGTTTGATTTTTTTTAACAAACGGAAAAACTTGTTGAAGACCTTACACCTATAGTTTTGTTGAGAAACTCAGTCTGCCGATTTGCGGAAACACCCAACACACCAAGAGAAAAAAATAGAATTTGGCCCAGCCTCAAAACCAACAAATAAGCCTTTTTAATTATAACCCGCAGCGAATTAAAGCCGCTGTATTTCTCAACTAAATCTCACTCTTTTACATATTTTATGCATAACTAGACTTCCACGCCTTCCCTTCGCTTCTCGGGGCACTCCGGGACATATTAAGTGGTGGAAGGGGCGGTAAATTACAATTCTCTCACAACTTTTACCTTTTATAAACCGCGCTTTTGATATAAAAGGCGTATATCTTACCCGTGTTCTGCCGACAAGTGCAAAGGACTGTATCCGCACTCGTCTGTGGCGTTAACGTCACCACCTCTGGTTAATAAAAGTTGAGCCGCCTCGTAATACCTCTGCCAGACGGCGTAGTGCAGGGGCATCAGGCCCTGTGTGACAGGCTCGTTGACCTGCAATGAAAGAAACAGGATTAATTACAAAAAAAAGTTGAAAATTATTTGTTCGTACGGGAAAGCTAGGAAAAGCTTCGTTCTTTTCTAATTTGTTTTAATGTCTTTCTTTCCTGAAGAATTAAGTTTAGTGATACAGTCTGTTGTTTTTCCAACGCCTTCTCTTTGATATGATTTAGAAGGCGAGCACCGTAAACTAAAGTCAAAGGTTGATTTTTTCTCAAAAATTTCATAAGCAAAGGCATACAAATTTCACATAGTTGGAAAGAGAATAAAAAAATCAATCAAAACATCCAAAAAGATAATTCTCGGGAAAGAGTGAAGGCTTAATAGTCTCACAATCCTTTTATTAAGACGACTAATTTCGAGGTCTACACTTTGCACCTCATCATCAGGTCATTACAAGGATATCACATTTGCAAGGTTCTGTGCAAAATTTGGAAAATTCATCTAAATAACCAGTTTATCAATTGTATACTTAATAATATCTTCCTAAACGTTTAATTTTAAAAAACATAAAACATTTACTGTAGACAATGACAATACACAGTTACAAGTACAAAACTTATTTTAAATTTTATTTAGATGAATTTTCCAAATTTTGCACAGAACCGTGTAAATGTGATATCCTTGTAATGACCTGATGATGAGGTGCAAAGTGTAGAACTCGAAATTAGTCGTCTTAATAAAAGGATTGTGAGATTATTAAGCCTTCACTCTTTCCCGAGAATTATAAATATGGACTCACACTTATCTATTTCAAATTTATCCAAAAAGATGTATACAATCCCAGTTAAACAAAATATCAATGACGTCACCACTCATCTACAGTGTGACGAAAAAAAAATTGTGGGTCAATATAAAGAAAATAACATCCCATTTAAAATTATATACAGGGTGGTCCGAATTTTATGCAGGAAACTTCGTGGGCTTATAGATTTCTTTAAAATAATAGGTGTTTGCCTTATAAACATAGGTCTGGAACGGCCTCGTTTTAGAGATACAGGGTGTTGAAGTTGTTAAAAAAATTTGATTTTTTGTTTATATCTCCGGAATCTATTAACCGATCTTAATAAAATTTGGTATAGATAATGTATGACAGTAAGCCTTACATTTCCTAAAATATGAGCTCTAAAGGTTCAACCAGTGGTGTACAACTGGACAGGGGCCGCCCTCTTTTTATAAAAAAAACTACGCCACTGTATTTTTTGCAAGTTATTGTAACGGATTTATATTCTAATGCACTAAATACGTAAAAAAGGTAACTTGAAATTTTTCCCTAAGATTCACCGTTCTCAAGTTATTCATACAAATACAAACCCCTTGTGGCAGACACTTCAAACCATAATATTACAAGAATATTTATGTTTATACTTAAAAGGAAGTGCAATTTGTAAGCAGATCAACAAAATTATTTCCACATCACCTGTGAGGTAGTGTTCCTAGTGTATTTTAGTTTCTCCTGGAGGCTTAATCCACTATCTTTACAAATAAGGACAATTTAAATGAAAATAATAATAAAAATACATTTACCAAGCAACGACAATTAAACAAGAAATGAAATTAACGTTACGTATTTGCAGCAATTGTTCAAAATGCGAACCATCCACATCGATACATTTCTGACAATTTCTATTAATGATTAATGGAATTACCTAACTAATATCATGTGGTGGTTTTCTTTTAATTCATTACACCCCTCTTCTATTCGCTGCAGTAGTTGTGGTGGAGTAGAGTAAACTTTACTTTTCAGATAGGTAACCCCAAACGTAGAAGTCCAGGGGGTTTAGATCTGGCGATTTGGCTGGCCAAGAGACTGGATTCTCTGCACCATTATGGTTGACATTGGCATTTGGTCTTCAACCTATCCATCGCCCCATATAATTTTTAAGCCATTATTGTATTATTCTCCTAAAATGCGCAGGAGCACCATCCATTTGTATCCAGCTATTTTGTGGTATATTTAATGGAACATCCTCTAATAATTCAAATAGATGGTTTTCTAGAAAGTTTAGAAATGCTGGGAATTTAGATGGGGTGACAAGAAATAAAGTCCGAATTATTCCGAGCCAGAAAATTCGTTGAAAAGATCTTATCCGAATTTCATGAGGATTTTCTTGTGACCAAATATTGTGAAAATTCACTACCCCTCGCCTTGTGAACGTAGCCTCATCGGTCCAAAGTATTTCTAGTAAGAATTCTGGATTATGTTGTGACTTTAAAACAACCACTAACAAAAATTCAGGTGTGTCTACATCTCCCGGAAGTAAATTTTGCACAGGTTGTAAATAGTACGGATTTCTACCATCCTTATGTAGAACTTTTCAAATTTTCGATTTACTCACCCCAATGTTCTTAAAATTTCATTTCTGTGTCTTTCATTGAGCCGTCGTGATTTTCCAAATATCGTTTTAATCCAAAAGATGAAAGCGACGAGTGTAAAGAATTTTGTTGATGTGCTTACAAATTGCACTTACTTTTAAGCATAAACATAAATATTCTTGTAATATTATGGTTAGAAGTATCCGCCACAAGGAGATTGTATTCGTATGAATAACTTGAGAACGGTGAACTTTAGGGAAAAAATTCACGTTACCTTTTTTACGTATTTTGTACATTAGAATATAAATCCGTTACAATAGATTGTAAAAAATACAGTGGCGTAGGTTTTTTTTATAAAAAAAGGGTGACCCTGTCCAGTTGTACACCACTGGTAGATCCTTTAGAGCTCATATTTTAGAGAATGCAAGGCCTACTGTCATCCATTATCTGTACCAAATTTTGTTCAGATCGGTTAATAGATTCCGGAGATATAAACAAAAAATTAATTTTTTTTAACAACTTCAACACCCTGTATCTCTAAAACGAGGCCGTTCCAGACCTATGTTTATAAGGCAAACACCTATTATTTTAAAGAGATCTATCAGCCCTGGAAGTTTCCTGCATAAAATTCGGACCACCCTGTATACCTTACTGGCTGTCCAAGAATGAGGGGCTTTTATAATCAAACATTCTGTATTTCTTGCGTGGTTGGTGACCGTAGACTAAGCGGAAAAATGGTACATTTCATCGTTTTTTATAACTGCTATGATGTTGTGAAGCCCACGTAGAACGTCATTACTGTTTACTACGTGCCTGTGTCATTTTAAAAATAAGCAATCGGTATACGCGTCCATTTCGCGACATTAATTTTTGATATGGCGATTTCGGAAATACATACATCCCGATAACCGACCGAAATAAAAGTGGGGCCGTATTTTTAGAGTTCGGACGGTCTTGGCATGTTTTCTACCATCTATTCCTTAATCTTACCACCCACACTTACACGTGGTTTCGCTAAATGACCACCGAAAAAAGTCTTTGAAGTACTGGCGTTTGTTTTTAGGCTTTTACACGACGATGTTTGACATTTGTTGTCTTAAAACGATTTTCAAAACGCAGGCGGAAAGAAATTACTATTTAATTTAAACGTATTGACCCCACAATACTGTTTTATAATTTTTCCTACTCCCACACGTATATTCACTGGTCTTTTTACAACTGGTTAAAATATCCATTCGGGAACGCAAAAGCGTCTCGTATTCGAGATGCAAATAGTATTTTTTTCTATAATTTATATACACGATTTTAGAAGATTTTTTATGTAACTGAACAAGGAATCAAATCTAGCGCGTCTAATTCGCAGATATCTGGCAACACTGTGAGAAATTATTTACTTCGCGTCCAGCAACTGGTGTCGAAATATGTATTTTGAATAATAGTTGATGTAGAAAAATGATAATTGAAATAAATATTAGCTGAAAAAAAGCCGACCTGCGTCGGGATTCGAACCGTCAACCTCTGGTTTAGCAGTCAAATACGTAAACTTCTA